TATCCACTTCCTCTATTACTTCCCCAGTTAGAGTGAGGCTGATCCTGAATCAGTGTGCAATCGGATTCCTTAATTACCTCACGCTTATTTTCCTAGGACCCGTAGTCCTAATTAGACGGAAAAGATTACGACTATTACCAATTATTACTATTATAGTAATATAGTAATATAATATATATAATATATAATATATATATAATATAATAATAACATAATAATAATATAATAATAATACTATTACTATTACCTATCTCGCTACATTTTCCTATCCACCCAAACGTCAAACGAATGATACGTGGAATCCGTGTCACGCAGGGCTTGCTTACCGGTTTCTATCATCATTGAACAGCAGATCCTTGTGAACATGGGTTCCATTACGTCTGCTATTCATCACACTGAGGTGTGTAATATAGAAAAAAAACAAGCGGTAACGAACTTTTGACCACTGAACCGGATCCCGGGGACAAAACGAATGAAGTCATCGGGCATGCTTTGGCAAAACTAAATTTAATTACCACCGAAGCTATAGAACAGATATTTCTTGGGATTCAGAATACCCCTCGGTAACTAGAAGATGCAGGCAGTGAGTTCTTGCTCAGATCTAACGATAAAACCCAAAGAGTGGCTTGAAACTTTCGAGAGCAACTCGGAATATCTCGAAGTCGGTTTGGCAGAGTAAGCAAGTACACATTACTGATAGATCCCGATAAAAGAGCAACTGTCCGGTGCTTTAGCGAACCAGCAAAACATTATTTTGCAATGATGTTCTAGTCAGTATTTTCTAATGCACTGAATCCGACCAGAATCTGGCACAGACGCCGGGAACGCAACCCAATCGGCTTAGTGGTACGGTGCATTGTTAGATATGGATGTAAAACTGCATGCTACTTGATGCCAGATCTCAGGTAGGGGCACGGGCAACAAGTTAGTGGTCAACTAGCTGTAAGACAGCTGGCGACGGCGCGTTTAACTGGAGCGTATACTGCTCCACCGTACAATCAATCTGCTTTACGGTTATGATACCTTGAATTTGCAAGTACAAGACATCCGTCGCCTAGTAGTTTTCGACAATCGATGCGGTTTAGTAACTTAGAAGTCGAAGTCATCGGGTGTTTGGCAATGCATCGAACAAGAACTAGCTATCGCATCGAATTCAGCTCAATGGGCTCCGTAGGTTAGGACATATCTTGCGTACGTCCGACGATCGCCTACCGCAATGCGCCTTATTCGCAGTGGTTGTTGCAGGCTGGAGAAGACCAAGTGAAGGCCAGCAGATGACGTGGAGACGGGCATGAAGAAATGTACAGAACGATTGAGTAAAGTATGTGTCTCTTATCTCTCGGGTTGGGGTCCAAAAGAATCCGAAACCGCATGATTGGAGACACTGAAGGCTGCGAACCGACAGCAATGGCGATCATGCTGTCACTTCTTATTAGACCGGAATGCTTGAAATTGTATGTACGCACAGTTTGACTGTGTGTTGACCATAGAGGTTCGTTTTCTTCTCCCGTCCCTATGAGTAAGTTCATTTCTTATCCTCGTTACACATTCTCACTTACCTTGTACGCAATATGAGTTTGGCAGCGATCAGTGAAGTTCGCTCCACGCAGCACAATGAGGATGAGGATGATGATGATGATGATGATAGGCCCAAGACCACTGCTGAAGGAGCCACAAACTAGCAGCTGCAGAGGCCCGGGGACGTGCTGAGTTTTCGGGCAATAATAATTCGTCATTTAAAATGTCACCAGAGTCTAACGGTACTGTGATGAGGTTACTGTTGTTTGGTCTCACTGATGTTTATCTACCTGAACAAATATGTAAAGATATTCATCAGTGTTGTAGTGATTTCGTATGTTTTGTTTCTCACGTCACTTCAGTTTAGTCGCATCCATTCGTACCGCGTCGAAAGTGAACGTGATCAAAATCATCATCATACCTCTTAGTGCAGCTAAACCACGATCTTTCGATGATACCGTTGCGAGTGGGGCGGTCGATTTTGTCTGTATCATTCTATAGTGATCGAGAAGACTGTTCGCTTTGGCCAATTGCGTTCGAAGCTGAGACAACTCGACGGCCGTGCGTCGACGTTCAACCTCACTGCTAGTCTGATGATGTCGGAGAACGTCCACGGTGGCATCCAGTTCAGAGTTCAATTGGAAAAAACGTTGCTGAAGTTGTTCGTAACGCGTTTTCTGTGTGATCCGGTATTTTTGTAGACGGTCCACCTGAGCTATCGCATTGCGTAAAGCCTCACGCAATTCGGCCACTTGATCGGTTT